GAAATCAAAAGCTTCTTTTCCGTTGTGAAACCCAGAAAAATATCAACTTTCAGTTATGTAACCACCTTCGTCTTTTTCACTCTTCTTTGCCTTTAGAACTCTCATCTTTGTTTCTCTAATATCGTCTCGTCCTTCTCCACCACCATTAGGACATTAGACAACACCTTCAGATCTCAATTCTCTTTGATTTTCTCATATAATATCCCGAAACCCACCAATAGAATCAGCTACGCCATGTCGAGTTTCACAAAACCTATTTCAGTGCCCCCCCCCAATTCGAATTTCATCTCTGAAATGAATCTCCAAAACGTTATTTTCCAAGCTACAGCGCTAGATATCATATTTTGATAGCTAAACACGCGACCATCGAGAAGCAGGAAAATCTGGTTCGATCTCGCACACGCCATTCACATATGAAATCGTTAGCAAACTTGAACAGCATTACAATGCCATTTACGGGAGATTCAAAACATCTTTTCTGAAATTTGGACATTGGATAGGAAATTATGATTCAAGATTTTCTGATTATGTACCAAAAAATTATAGAGAAAACCATGGTAATTTACACGAAGAAAACGGGCCTCAGTTACATTTCCCTATAAATTATTACTTACAAAAAAATATAAGTACACTAATAATAATTTTTATGGTAAAAAGACAAAAATCTGAGTTACCCTCTTTTTCCCGTTCCCCTACCCCTGAAGCAATTCCAAACCTTCAGCTCCGGCTAGGTCTAAAACCGGGTCAAAAAGCGGGTCAACGTGTTAGGCCCAAACTTAGGCCCGTACAAAACTCCTAACTTTACCACAGTTCACACACCATACGACACGTAGATCCGGAGTATATACGACGACGTTTGACAAGGAGCATTTCGTAGCCGTTGGATTTCAAACTGGAACCGGCAAACCATAGTTGTGAAAGAGTCTGATCCGTCCATCCCACCCTCCGGTGACTATAACCAATCCCCAAAGATGAGAAGACTCGGAAGTTCTCCGGCACGAAGATCGGAGGAATCTATAATGCGATCTACGGATCGCTTTAACCGGAGAAAACGAGCTTGCTAGCTTCTCCTCAGGCCAAGTCGCAGATCCTTTAGGAGAATCGAGAACGTACTCGCGCCCCAACGAGAAGAGTGATGGTGATAGCTCGGATCCGCTGGAGTTTACGGGGGCGAATCCGCACCATGGGATAGCGACCGAGACATCTGCGGAGAATTTCTCAAAGGATCGGATCTTAAGCCGTTTCGTGTAGGAGAAGAAACCAGGAGATGGCGGTTCGGGATCGTTTGCAATGCAGTTCCAGACGTAGACGGAGGAGTCATCACACGCCGATATAATATGCTTTCCGTCTGCTGTAAAAGATGCCGATATCTGATTTCCAGCATTTCGAGATCCTAGCAGATATATATACACATTTCAGAATTTGCACACTGTTGTTCGATTAATGTCCCCTACGTTAGAAGCATTACCTTTGTATTTATGAACAACGTTGCGACCGCTAATGATCCTGACTTGTGAATCTGCGGATGCCACCATGAATCTGCTTGGATCAGTGGAATCAAACTGCAGAAGAAACTAGTTGAGTATCATAAACAAAAATATATTATATCTTGGGAGACAAAAATCGTATGATTTGAGAAGAAAAATGCACCTGAAAGCTGATTATTCGTTTATTTGATGACTTCTTTTTGTTATGCAGACATATATGACCATCGAGTTGAAGGCAGTGGCCTGAACCAAAAAGAGAGAAAAGAATGTTCTACTTCAGATTTCTAGGAAAAATGTTATAGAAACTTGGGAGTTCATAAGACAATTTCATGTGTGCGTATGCAATCTAGGAGCATTACCCGATACATTGTAGAAGCGACACTCGCTCGTCAAAGTGCCAACAATCACTGCCTGAAATAGATAAAAGTATTCTTGTTTTAGAAAGAAAATCTGAGGTGAGTCAACAGAAAAAAAAAAAAAAACTACTTGGTTCTGAGTCAGACCTGCCCGTCTGGGCGATAACAAACTGCGGTTACAATGCCTCTGGCATCAGCCCAATCTACAACTTGGCACTGAGAAGCTGACCAGATACGAACTTTTCCATCTATCGAACCGCTGATGAAGTGATCATCATCAATCGGGTTGAACTGAACAGATGTCACTGCAAAAAAGGTAAATAAATGGCATTCTGATTGAATGATCGACTAACAAGGAAGGAAAGAGAACAATATACAACGATGCCAATGTACAGACGGAGAAGAACATTACCATAGTTACTGTGAGAGAATATTCCAAGACAGTCCTCACAGCCAATTTGCCAAAGCCGAACACTATTGTCTACTGAAGCTGACAATAGACGCTGCCACCAATATCACAGAATGAGCAACTCGGTCTAGTTTTCTGTTCAAGATTACACATACAGGGACTGAATCTATGTTCTTATGTTTTAGAGATCTCAAAACATAACGAAACATGCATTAAAAAGGTGTCTAGCTAGTTCAAGATAGCAACTCTGTAAAAAGGTGTTTAAGACGAGGAGCCTTGAGCAGGTCAACCTAGAGTTCAGTTCAAAGAACTAATGTACAAATAAAGGGAAGTTCAAGAAAGTAAACTCACATTGTTATTGGACCATGATATATCAAGAATATCGCCACTGTGACCGTGAAACTCATGAACGGGTTTATCAAGAATTCGGAAGATCTTTGGGGGAATAATAACACAAGCGGACTCTGTTGTCTTCCTTGGACTCATCAATGACCCAGTAATGCCATCTTTTTCTACAGCCACAGGTCTCAACTCAGAAAGTTTGCTAACTTCAAAGTATATACAAGAAGGATCAATCTTGGGAACGTCATGTTCTTCACATCTTTCGTCTTCAACAATGCTCCAAACCCGTAAAACCCCGTCTTCACCAGCACTTGCAAGGTATCTCCCATCAGGACTAAATTTCATAGCGAGAATCGCTCCTTCATGAGCTTGTATCTCTTGACCCTTAAAAAGAGCAGAAAGCTCCTTAGCCTCCTTTTTATACTCCTTCACCTTAACTCTCTCAATCCTACTCCCGAAATCCGCAACTTCACCAGCATGATCTCCTGATTTATGCTTATTACGCACTTTGTTCAGCCGACTCAACCATATATCCTTAACCCTCTTCATGATTCCACCTACATCCCGATGTTCTGCAGCGGAAATCGGCGACTTAGGTTCAACCGCTTCACTGTTTTCCTCCAAAATCCGATCTGTTAAACCCGATACAGGTGATCCAGAACAAAGGCTAGAGCTAATATCATCGACAAAACCCAAATCCCTCAAAACCATTCCACTACTTACATCCCCAACTACTTCCTCTTTACAAAAGCTCTCCTGCACAATTCTATCTACATTCTCCCTCGGACTAAACAAAGAAGAATCACAACGACAAGAGCTAAACTCATCGTCTGATTTCAAACTCCGTAAAACCGCTGATTCGCTAACCGAGCTAGAGAAACGATGATCTACATTGCCTGATTCGTGATGAGTTTGTGTCACACTACTTACACCCATCCAGTTCAAGAACTTCTCTCGACGTTCCTCAGCGTTTCCTGGGCTTTTGATCCAAACATGGTACTGGAAATCGATCGGAATCGACGAAGATGGAGATTCATCGTACTCGATTGCAGTGGAACAGGACGCGATTTCTTCGTACGCATCGAAAAATCGAGATTCTTCGTCTTCGAAAATTAGCGGTTCCATTTCTTCACTCGTTTTTGGATTCTTAAAGCTGCCTGGAGAGAAAGCAACAGAGAAAAAGTTTTCATTTTTTTTTCCGAGAAAATAAATTGAAGACGAAGTTTTAAGATTTAAGAAGAAGAGAAATTAGTAATATAATCAAGAGGAAGAAAGAACATTGAGAAATGTGAAACATATACATATATACCTAGAATCGATCGAACAAAACATAGATCCCGATCAAATGTAAAAAAAAAAAAATCGAGAATCAAAACAAAAATCGAGTTCCACTTGCAAACCATTAAAGCAGAAACCTTTATTAATAAAATTGGGAAGAATCAAATCATCAAAACATACCCAGAAACTACAAAGACCTATAAATCCAGACATGCAGATTTCGTTAAATCGATGAAAAAGGTTTTTTTTTTTTTTTGGTTGTTGTTGCTAATTTCTTACATGTGGGGATTTTTTTTGTTGTCGTTCTACGAGGTTTATTTGATGTGGGGAAGCTCAAAAAACGAAGAAGCCATGAGAAATCTGTCTAGAAGTTTTCTTCTTTCAATCTCTTCTCTGTTTTTTTTTTCCTGAGAATTTTGGAATAAACAAAAAGACTTGATTTTGATTTTTTTTTTCTTTTTGCCTGACAAACAAAAAAAGAAGAAGCGTAGATTGAAGGAAAGGAGAGAATCTGTGGCACAGAC